ATGTATCAACTACAATAGAAGAAAGTCCATTTCTGAAGCTCATTTTTAGTTTCTTGTCACAGTTCCCATATAGTAAGGTAAAGTAAATCATTAGAGAAGGTCTTCAACCATTAGGAAGTCTCCATAGGTCTCATGAAGGTAGAAGAGCTGATTAAGAAACATCAATGAACATCTTAAAAGTTTAAAAAAGTAAAAAACAAAGGAGCATAGGCAGCTTTTAGAGAAAGAAACTGCTCAGTAGGGATGCTGCATTATTCTTCAGGTTCTTCACCTTTACAAAAAGGATTTCTACAGATAGACCATAAGCTAGTGACCAGTTTGATTAAGTGATCTGATTGATCCATTCAGTGGTTTGACGTTTTTTTAATGGAAGCATATACTCAATTCCATTATTATTTCTCCACTATCTCAGAAATTTCTAAATGATCACAGGAACATCCCTGTTTTGTAAGATGGGAGTTTTATTTTGCAATCCTTTATCTTCAAGTTGTTTTTCAATGGAATAAAAAAACAATATATCATTGTGAGCATAAGATGAAATTCCTTTTTGAGGTAAAGAATGAACGGAACGGGACAGTCTGAAACACACAGCTATTAAACGTCAAGAAGGTCATTACTGTCATTTCTAGATGCTGTTTGTGCTTACATCATGTTCTGTTCCAAGTTCCAAGGAAGGTCCATTGATCCAAGGATCCAGAGAAACATCACAGGTTATGGAATCTATCTTCGAGAATCTGAACATGACATCCCAGCTTACTTTCTTTTCTTCATTTTTGGAGTCATTACACTTTATGCATCACACTTCAAGATGTGCTCTATATCTAAACATCTCATTTGTTTCAGATTTGTTTGCACAGTGGTAGAAAAATGAAGAAAGATTTTAAAAAGAGAGCTTGAATTATTATTATTATTTTTTAAAGCTAGTATCACTCTTAGAATTCAGATGGTTCTTATTAACAAAGGTTTGGACAAGAATCAGGATTTACATTCCCTTCTGAATAGCTGGAATAAGATCATTAGTTGGAAGAGCTTATTGGCCCTTAAAGACGTATTTTTCTGCTGTAACTACTTTTGGCTGTAAGATGGGATACTAACATTGTAGTCTGATTACCCTTTACTTTCTCTTTCCAGATGAATTCCAGTTTGATACTGGCACTTTCATTATTAAACAAACAAAAAAAGAGTCTGAAATTCCAGTTCTTTCATGTGGTGTAACACATCTTTTAGTTCTCTGGATTTCATTTTGGGTCATTTCATATTGGAAGCCAAAAATCCCAAGGTACACACCTGGCATAACCAGCTCCAGAACCGTTTGGAAAAGGTGCAGAGAGAGGAAAGGACAAGGTAGGGTGGATCTGTTTGCACAGATCTCAAACGTGGCCAACTTTGAGATGGATTTTTCCCATTCCTGCTGACAGTAGTTTCCCTGTCAGTGCCTGAGATCTCCAGTCACTGCCTGGTGCTGGCTAATTAAGATGTAGGAAACCCTGCTGTCCTATGAAACACACACACACTTTGTAGTCCATGCTGAAAGTATCAAACAAAGCAACACGTCATCACGTGTCAATCTGTAATTTCAGGGTATGCTTTAAAACATTGTAATATGGAGATTATATACAACTGTAGTAGGTTAGGTAACTTCTTTCTAGCCAGCATTTTTCTCTCTAGCTAACTTCAGTTTACCAGTTTTATTCCATCGAGGCCATTGACTTCAGGCTAATCAGATTCACATGATTCTTCTAAAGTTGGTTCCTGTTATTTATTTTCAGAGAGATTTATCTCAAGTGGCCATTAACTCATTTTTCCCTCACTGCATTAAAGGGATTTCTATCCAAACTGAGATCTGATATCTTTTATTTGTTGAATATCAGTTTGTTATCTTATATATAATTTTCTGTCAAAGCAACTTTGTGCATGTTCATCATGTGTGTAAATGGTCGATCTGTCACAAAAAGGGCTGCATCCCAGTGCAAGTTGAACTCTGTGTGTCCTTGCAAGAATCTTCTTGTTGTGCTCTTCTATTAAGAGTCTCCAATGTCTACTGCAAGAATCCAGCACCTGTTGCTGCAGGCTGCATCTCTCCTATTGGGTAGCTTCATTTGGAGTGAATGGCCTGTCAAAGAAGCTAGAAAGTTGATGGGCAATAGACTTGGTTTGTTTTCTGGGGCCAAAGTGAATTAAAAGGAATTGTGCTCCTTTGTTCCACTGCTGATGGCTGAGGTTTGGGGACAAACAGAACTGGGGTTTTAGGAGCCCACAGTGGTGCTCTGAAATCATCCCTTGAAGTGAGGCCCAGGCAGACAGGCGCAGGGAAGATGCCATCTCAAGGCTGCTTCTTTGCAGAGGCATTAGCAATTGAAACATTTGGGTACCGGTTCAGGAGGATAGGAGTGACAAAATCAGGTGCTTGCAAATAAGCCATTCTGATTACTTACGGCCCAAGAACTATAAAACGAAGCTTAAATATAAATGCTTTCCAAATTCGGATAGGTTTCTGGTTTGGTGAATCCTCACCCCGCAGATGATGATTCATAATACCCTTTTTCTTTAACTGTCCAAGGACAGAAGCATGGTGGGCTATCGAGCATCCTTATTATTCTCACTGCCGAGACTAAGGCTGTTGTCCATCCTGTGATGATGATGGTCATGGTGACACAGTGGGCCATCATTGCTGCAGGGCAGCATTTTTCTCAGTCTACTGCTCTCCCTAGAAACACTCAAAGGAGCATTTCAGCACTGGAGGCCTTCAGAACAAAAGGAAGTGCATGAGACACAGGTAATTTCCAACTGGCTCTTCAGCATACATAAGCCTCTTATTTACAGGATGAGTCACTGTAGATGTAATAGAGGAATTAAATCTTGAATTCATTAAAAATTCCCATTTTCTTGCTCATCAGCTCAGTGAAGAGACTAAGGAGTAGGAATAAGGTGATTTTTAAAATTTTTTTGTCTCCCAAAGTTTGTAATCTTTTATGCACATAAATTCTGAAGCAAGACATCAGTAGGATATTATCTTCATCTCTGGGACTGCTAGGTACAAAGGAATAGTGTGCAGATGCTGTCTTCAGCATCATTTGAATAACACTGCATGATTTACTGGATTCTGCCACAGCTGGCAATCCGGGAAGAAGGCAGCAAAAGAACTTAAAAAAAATACAACCTTCTGAAAATAAACTCTTTTGTGGTTAAATAACCAGCCAGTTGGAACTGAAGCTGTGTTTTCTTAGGGTGGCAGAACAGTAGGAAAAGCTGTTGGATTATTTTTGGCAGTGGTCACTACTTTAGATCTATCATTACTAAACTGACAGAGTACACTGAAGAGGTTATTGCTTTATTAGTACATTCTTCCAAAAAGCACAGCATACAGCAGTGCTGCACAAAGCAATACAATGAGCACATAACAAGAGCTTGGAAGATTTCAGATTTATGAAAATTAAGCTGTTGTATTTGGATCTTGGTAGCAGAACCAAACGCAGTAAGCACACAAAATGGCAGCCAGCTCTCCTGGCTGCAACACAGCAGGCGTAAAATGAAGTCAACTTAAAAAAAATTGAACATTACTTTGTACGCTGGTGTTAGGAGCATGTTCTCCATAGCAGCTGCACCTGAATTTCCACACTGAGTCTATCAGGATACTTTGCTATATGGGAGTACCTTATACAACTCTTCTTTATCTTGTTAAATGGGACAGATCAGTTACCTAAGTATTTAAGATGAATTTACAGTCTGCACCATACTCTGCTGAGAAGATACCTAAATACTAGATTCATCTGAGAAGGAAAAAAATGTTTTTCCTTTGATTTGGGTCTACGTGATCATTTGCAGTGTTACAATTAAGATGAGTTATTTTTTGCCTTGATAGTAGCCAGTGGACAAGCAGTTGAATCTGTGCTTTCACGTGCCTGCAAATTTTTTACCCTCAAATTCTTTTCAAATATCAGCAAATATCAGGTAATTCTTGGATAACAAACACCCATCTCATCATTCTCCTTCTGAATATCTATTGAATTCAGGTTATGATGTGAAAGAGCACACGCAAATGAAAGATTTTAGGCATCATCTCTTCACCAAAACAGTGCTGATTCCAAACAGTCAGCAGAGTCCCATCACCACCACTGGATATGCTGTGTGATGTTTCATCTGTATTATTTTTTTCCATTGGAACTATTCTGTAGGTATTATAAATGCCTGTGTGGTCCTGGCAGACCTGCTTTAGATGGCTCTACTTGAGCAGGTGGGTTGGATCAGATGGAGGGAAGGTTTAGATTGGATTTCAGGGGGAAGTTCTTCATAGAGAGAGCGGTGAGGTGCTGGAACAGCTGCCCAGAGAAGCTGTGATGCCCTGTCCATCCCTGGAGGTGTTCAAGGCCAGGTTGGATGGGGCCCTGGGCAGCCTGGGCTGCTATGAAATGGGGGGGTTGGTGGCCCTGCCTGGGGAGGTTGGAACTTGATGATCCTTGAGGTCCCTTCCAACCCAAGCCATTCTATGATTCTATGAGATGGCCTCTGGAGGAGCCTTCCAACCTAAACCATCCTGTGCTTTTGTCTCTGGTTTTGAGTGAGAACTGACGACATGTGGTGTCATCACTTGTAAGCAGATTTGCCTTCCAGATGAAGAAGATGGGAAGTCTGAATCCTCATTTGTCCATATCTGTTGTGCAAACTGAGTTCAGATGGTTACATCAGCAAGCATTGTTTTGTTATGCTGCATTTCTCCTGCTCGCAGTCAGCCTGTAAGATGCCTGAGAGGGATTGGGGACAGTGGATAATTAAGTAGGGTCTCGTAAAGGGGCGGAATAAGGTATCTTGTCTTACAGGCACACTGCTTGTGAAAGCCACGATTGCACTTTAGACAATTAATACACCATAACAGTGAAAAAGGCACAGCTCAGAGAGCCAAGAGCGTGGATTTGTCCCTGTACTCCTGCTATCGAGTGGGGAAGGGTACTGAAAACATGTATTTGCTGGCTATTGACTGAAACAAATACTTCTAATTCTAGTTGAACACTGAGTAAGCAACTCCCAGACTCAGCTACGCAGCCAAACTGGCCCGATGGCATGCTGCAGCCAACCCCAGCTCAGCATCTGGATGAAATAAAGACCTTTCTCAGGAGCAGCTTTTTGTGCAATATACTCAGAGGTAAGCACAGCACACACAGAGCAGACTGAAATCTTGTATTACCAGCATCACACAGCAGTCCAAACATCTCTACCAGGGGAAGTGTTTGTATGAGAATAGGTAGCAGGGCATCTGATGAACAAATGAGAGAAGAACTGCCATCCTGAAATTAAAAAGTAATCGATCTGTCTTCTGAAAAGTGAGGATGAGGGCAGTTTGCATTTAATAGTCTTATTTTTTGGAAATGCTTAGTTCTTTGACATATTAAACAAGCTGCATCACTGGTATCTGCTAGCTAGCTATTGTTTGGCTAACAGGGGAGTTCCCATGTATCCCTTCTTCCCATATTCTGCCTCCAGAAATGCCTTTGTGGAAAATGGTTTATTACAAGGAGGGATAATTCACTTAGAAGTCACAGGGCTCATTAAATATCCTCTGGTTTTGTACAACTGTTGCATTTTTGGTATTGAGAGGTTTGTGGTAACAGTTGTGGCCCACGTTACAAAGGCTGTAGTGCCAGCACTGGTACAGCTACGCGTCTCCCTGGAAGCTCAGGTGGCTGCACTGGATGGGAACTGTGTGAACACTTAGCAGAAAGGACCATGGAAGAGTCCAGTAGCTAAACATAGAACAAATTTAGAAACAACCCCTAAAACAGCTTGTAAAATACCTTCACATCAGCAAAAGTCACAATCCTGACAGTCTTAAGGCATGCCTATTCCATAAATGTTTTTTGCTTGCACTGTCACTGAGACTAATCCACTTTTTGAATCTGTTTTTTAATTTTTAATTATTTTCTAGTAATGTTGTAATAGATTAAAAGATTCAGTTCTGAATCTTCAGGAAAATACCACATATCCCATATACATTTGCTTGTGTTTGGGCCACAATCCCATAGAATGCTTTGCCAGAAGGACAGGAAATACAAAGAAAGATTCAAAATATGCAACCTAAGAAGCTCAGAGAAAAAAGTGTGGCAGAAAATCAGAAAAGAGCTCTTTGCTGGCATTGCTATGCCTCTTTTCTATAGAAGGGAATAATAAAAATGGGTATTATGCATAAACACGATATGCTGAGGCTGTTCTGGCATGTCTGAATTGCGCCTGGAGTTCGTTCTGCAAACCTTTTCCATTAACATTTCTGTTGGAAAAGCTAACTTTCTAGAGATGCAGTGACCCATCTGATTTTAATTTGGTTGTTGAACAAGGGGTTACTCTTTGAATTGTGCACAGCCAAGCTATTGAGCTACACCTAGTTCTATTTCCTTGTACAGACGATGATGGCTGCTCAAGTATGAGCAGCATGTGGGCAAGCAGCAACCCTCAGTCTTCTTTTAAGTAAATTAAAGTAGCTGGAACAGTAAGGACTTTCTCTGTGAGAGGGATTTGACTCCTAACCATCGTATCATCCCCATTTCTTCCAGTCCAAAGGCTTAAAGGAGAACTGCTACTGTTGCTTATGGCATTTCTCTTTTGTCCCCATGATGCAGGGTCTGAAGCATCTCTTCAGTCTATTTGGCATGTCCTGCTGATTTCTTAAATGCTTGCTAAGCCCTGCACAAACACAGCTGTTTATTTTATTTCAGCTCATTTGAGATAAGAAGTATCCACACAGGACCCTATGGTGCATGTCAGGGTTCTGCATTTTCTACAAGACTGCATCCCAGCAAAGACAAAGCTTTAGTGCCTCTTTGAATTCTAGTTTGAGAAAGCTGAGCAGGAAGGAGTGAAGTCAACAGTCATTGACCCAATCCCAGAAAAACATTAGGACATGCTGGGAAATCACAGCGGAATTGCACAGCCTGATTCCTCCGTTTGAAAAACCCTGTTTGTCCAGTGGGTGTGAGGCTGCCTGCCTGCTGGCTGGACGCTGCAATTCGGGGCCAGCTGAGGCACGTCATGCACAACAGAGCAGCAAGACAGGGGAGGAGCCTGTATTGATAGGGATTTATGTTTTTTTCCTGTTTATATCCTGTCTGTACCTCATAGTTCTTCACAGAGGAATACAATGTCAGCCCTTGACTGCAATTTCAGATCATGTTTTCAGTGCCTCTGCTGCTGATTTGTTCCCTAACATATGGCTGATTTAGTCAACACATGGCAGTTACCTAATAAAGTATTACTGCTGCTGGTGTTCCAGCATAATATTGTTCTTAGAGATATTTTAGATATTTGTCCCACATTTTTCCACACCCAAACAGATGTGCACATTCTCCAGGCTACAGGAAGACTAGCACTCGCTTTGGGTCTGCTACACAGGGACATTTGTGCAACTTCTTGCTCGTGGCACTGAAAAAAGGACGGTGTGTTCCTCTGTGCCCAGTACTGTGACCATAATGGTTTTAGCCACGCTCTACCTAAGATGCCGACCAGAAATAGTCTGTCACCCATGGTGCTCCTATGTAATACCCATATTTGTCCTAATAGGCAGCCTGAACTTGGACAAATCCCATCTGCCCTCGTGACATGTGATGTCTGAGCTCTTCTGGGAAGGAGCGTGGGCTTTATCTGCCCCAAATCAGCAATGTGGTGCGTCCCGAAAGGGCAGATGGGATAGATGGAGGCTGCTGGAGGCTGCTGAGCCAGCCAGAGTGCTGGGGCCTGTCCACATGGCAGGTAAGTGTGGCTGGGAGTGTGTGCTAATGGCCGGATTCAGGGGGTTCCCCCACTTCCACAAATACCAGCTCGGTGCTCCCCACCCTCGCCCGAAGGACAGCCATGCAGACAGATGAACTAAACAGACAGCTATGTTAGCCAAGGTCCTATTTCTACGCTTGCTCCTCTGCAGGGTATTTGCAGCCAAAAGACCAGTGCTGGCCGAAAAGGTTATTGCAAAAATCACCAGAGATTTTACTCCTGGGAACATGCTGTCGCCATATGGTCTCCGCATTAATAATACCAAACAAGTGCTTCATAGTGTTCTAATAACAAATACCAGAGGAATTAATAATAATCTAGCTATTATTTTCTAATGTTCTCACTTTATGAACAACTTTTATACTGTCTGAACGAGCTCTTCTGGAAGATCCACATCTGGTACCCACATGAGAACCTGATGAAATCTGTATGGTCCTGGGTATCTTACACATTTATTGCCAGCAACACCATCTGTTTCTGCCAGCGTGGCTTACAGTAATACTACATTTTTCTTTTGTTCTAGGTGCATAGCGTAATGTCCATGCTGTACTACACTCTGATTATAGCTTTTTTGATCGGCACACAGGCAGCTCCAAAGTCAGAGGACAATGGTCCACTGGAGTATCCTGCAGAACACTCCTTACCCAGTACACAACAGAGTAACGGACAGCACATTTCCGAGGCAGCCCCACAGACAAGCCACGGCCACTTTGCTTGGATGCCAGATGGAACAGAAGATTTAAATATCGCCATGGACCAAAATTTCTTTAACAAGAAGCGTTTCCGGTCTTCTCGGGTCCTGTTCAGCACGCAGCCACCTCCAGTGTCAAGGAAGGGACAGAATACGGGGTTTCTCAGCAGTGCAGTCTCTCTCAACAGGACTGCCAGGACCAAGAGGACTGCACATCCCGTACTGCACCGGGGAGAGTTCTCAGTGTGCGACAGTGTCAGCATGTGGGTCGGGGACAAAACCACAGCCACTGACATCAAAGGCAAAGAGGTGACCGTGCTGGGAGAGGTCAACATTAACAACAACGTTTTTAAGCAGTACTTTTTCGAGACCAAGTGCAGGGACCCTCGGCCAGTGTCCAGCGGGTGCCGAGGGATCGATGCGAAGCATTGGAACTCTTACTGCACCACCACACACACCTTCGTCAAAGCACTGACCATGGAGGGCAAGCAAGCAGCCTGGCGATTTATCCGGATTGACACAGCCTGTGTCTGTGTGCTCAGCAGGAAATCGGGGAGACCCTGAGACGGAGCTGAACCCCACAACAGCATCCTCCTATCCCCCTACCTCAGCCTGTAAATTATTTTAAGTTAAAAAAAAAAAAAAAAAAAAAAAAGGACTGCATGGTGTATTTATAGTTTATACGATACAAAAAGAACCTCATTATTTATTAAACTCTTTTGGAAACCTTTCGTGTTTTGCAATTCATTGACCAGCCGGACTCTTCAAAAGACATCCACCTTTGTCGTAACGCAGCCCTGCAGCTCTGAGCTGCTCACAGGGCCGCTGGACAATCTTTGTTCACCATTTGGCACAAGTGCAGTGCTTTTGTGGCCTTTATGTGTATCCCTCTCTTCCCCAGCAGTTTCCATCACGTAACCTGTCAGCTTACTTAGACAAATAAGCTGAAATGTTTTGACCAGTTACCAAGAGGCTGAAAAAAAGTCTTTTCAAAACTTGCCTCTACTTCTACTAATTATCCTTAGAGGTATTAGTTTTATTAGTCATATCAGTGAATTCCTGGTAGAAAACACAAATCTTCATGATGCCAGATGCATTTCTAAGCATGACTCGTAGTGCATTTTTTACAAATTGGCAAAATGTTTTCACTGCAAAAATGATCCATTCTCAGTTATCTTTGAATATTTGTCCGCATACAAGCAGAATCCAGATAAATGTATTTTTTAATTAAAATGCTGTTCTGCAGCTCATTGCTCATGAGCTGTATTAGAGTGATGGGGTTATAAATGTAAACCTAAATGTGTAAGTCAAAAATCATCACGTAGTCGATAATTAAACAAGGGAATGAACTCAAGGTGGTTTTTTGGCAGCGAGGCGTTGACACAGGAGCAAATGTTTTCATGCATGATAGAAACAAAGATTTAAAAATACAAGTCTGTGTTTTAGCAAGGAGCCCCAAAGCAAACCCTGTGCTCATCATTTCTGTGCTTTGGAGAACACTGATTTCGGGAAGCAATAGTGGAGCCTGGGGTCCGTGCTGGGTGTTGCAGTCATTGCTCAATGGATAAAGCTGTATTTTCTCTCTCACTGTTTCCTTTGGAAGAACAACTGCTATCCATTGTAGAAACTGTTTCAAAACAAACACCATTAGGGTTTTTAGCTTTGTTTCTTCCAAGTCCTAGAGGGCACACTTTACTCGCACGCTGTTCTTTCCGTGATGGAAAAAAGCAGCCCTAACATTTGCTTCCCCAGCGTCAACAGCAAAGGACAGCAAACCTCCAAAGAAAATGTACTGTTGTAAAATAGTGCCAGTCTGAGAGATAAGGTGACAGTACAGAGCCCATTCCTGATAACCACTGGTACTGCACTTTTCAGCCTCCTCGAGGAAGTGATTATGGTGTGGGACAGCGATATTCCAGTAAGAATGTTATGTCCTCTCCAGAACAGCATTTCTGCAATATTTGTGTGAATAACCAGTTATCTGAAAGGTCAGGGAGCGGGCAGGATCCTGACTGTCCTCAGTCCTCCAAATAATGACCTCCTGTTCTGTCGCGGGGGAGGCAATGAAAACTATGAAATGCTTTGAGTGTGATCACATAGGCTCTGTCACAATAGCAGAATATGGTAAGCGTGGCAACCACCTGCCAGTCAGCACAGGAGGGATGGAAGAAGAACAGTGAAAAACACAGTATTTTGGAGCCAAGGAAAAAAAGACCAAAACATGTAATTGGAGGAGAGTGGGGCTGTGCACCTCTGTGGCCTTAAAGCAATGGACAAAGGTCATAAATCTGATCTTTACCATGAATGACAGCATGACCAGAAAAAACTGTAGCCCTGAAACTGACCTTAAAGCAATCTTGGGAGCTGTGGTCCTTCTGCAGCCAGCTGACTGTGCTATACCTTCAAGCCATTCTTACCATTCAACCATTCATCTGGAGATCACCAGAGGGACTGAGGTAGGTGAGGGGTATTTTGGGTGCAGCTGTGTGCCCAACTTGATGATCTTTTAGAGCACCTGACCAGGCTGTAGCAGGAAGTTGCCAAGCTGAGGTGGATTCAGCGGTAAGAGAGATTGATTGGTGCTTGGAACCCGAAAGGGGTGATCATGTTAGAAAGGTGCAACTGAGGACCCAAGTCATTACCCATGGCACTAAAAAAAAGCAAAGGGTCTTTGAAATTGGAGGCTCTTTGCTGAGAGGCACTGAGGCACCCATCTGGATAACCTCTCTAGAGGGGTTTTCTGCCTTCTGGGAGCCTGCAACCAAAATATCAAGAAGAGGATACCAGGTATGATAAAGCTGAACCACTGCTATCCCCTCCTGGCCTTTCAAGACCAGGAAATTAAATATCAAACAAGACATGAAGCCCCTTGGGAAGATGCTGAAGGGATTGGGAGTGCAGGTAGTGTTCTCAGTCCTCCCACTTGGAGACTGGGCAGAAGGAGAACGGATCAGCTGAATGACTGGCTGTGGGTGGAGGCACGCCAATGGCGATGGGTTCTGAGGTCTAGGACACACCTTCATAAACCAGGAATGTTGGTGTGGGATGGGACACAAGTGACTAGGAGGACGAGGTAACAAGCTGTCTGGGCTCATCACCAGGGCTTTAAACTAGTTCTGCTGGGGGAAGGGGATGTGCTGCTGAGTGACAGAGAAGACCCAGGGAATGCTGTCACCTTAGGAAACAGCAAGGAAAAACATCAGATTTGTCCTGGAGGTTTGTGGGAGAGCTCTCTAGGGAGGTAATGCATCCCAAAGCCCAGCTGACGTGCCTCCATGATGCACACAGCATGGCAAACAAGCAAGAGAAGTTAGAAAGCATGGCGCGCTTGGAAAACTGTGATCTTACTGCTGCTACAGGAACATGGTGGGATGGTTCATATAACTGGAATGCCACCACTGAGGGCTGTAAGGTTTATAGAAGGGATACGCAAGGTAGGATGGGTGGGGGAGTTGCCCTCCATGTCAAATGTGGATAGACTGCAAGGAGCTCCCTCTGAGTAACAGTCAGGACCAGGTGGAGAGCCTATGGGTTAAGATAAGATAACTTAATGATCCTTAAGGTCCCTTCCAAGCTAAGCCATTCTATGATTCTATGAAAAAGACACTACCTGTGTCCCCAGAGTGAAAGACAAAGCTGTCATTACAAGCTCTATGAGTTACTGTAACAAATCTGGACTTGATTAAAGATGCTACTGGTAAACATTGCGCTAGTCATTATGGGGTGGTGAGAGGTTATTTAGTCCTGTAGATATTGCTGTGATCTATTCTGTGCTTATCACTCAATTGATTTTGTGCTTCCAAGACTGCAACTAGGCTTCTGGTTCATCCTGCATGATGGTAAACTGTTATTACTGACATTTCTTGCTGTTCATAAAATAAGGGGTCCAAAAAAGAGTGGGGAAAAAAGAGTGAAAAAGACTCCACAGAGGAGTTAATAAATCTTTTTTTATTGAATTCATGCCCATAGCTGTCACCCAGCTACAGAAGGGCTGAGAGAGAGCTTTTGAACAATTGGTGTGTACAGACCCTGTTAAAGTGGCTTCATACTTTTGGGATTTCAGTATATAGATGAAGGAATACAAAACTCACGTGACAGTTGCTAACAAATGCTACAGCAATTTTTCTACAGCACACCAGCGTCAAATGATTGAATAATGAACAGAAAAAAACACAGGAAAGCATTTTTAACACTGTTGCTGACACTCCAGAGGCTTAGCCTTCCAAATTGCAGTGGACCAAACAATACATCTTTCTTAAAGAGCTTCTGATTGCATAAATGAAAGTAACTTTTGTGTCATGTGTCAGAGATGGGTGAACAGTCATGGAAAAGTCTTCAATGTTAAAAGTCTTCTATGATTCTATGGTGAAGGTATCTTAGCACTTTCCAAATCATACCAGCGATGCCTTCAATCAGTGCTTCCATCACCTAACATGGGACTCATCCTTGCACCACTGCTGCTATTGCAGTTTAGCTTTTAGGTTCTGTATTGACGTGTCTGAAATCCTGCTGCGTCTGCACTGCTGAGTTATGCCGAAAGCCTGGAGTGCCAAGAGTCCATTCTAACCTTCAGTCTTGCCATCAGGTTATAATCTGTTGAGCCTTGCCCTGATTATTTTCATTTCAGTTGCAATATGGACAGGAGGTTTTGACACTGACAGAGGAAGAGCCTGGTTATAAAACAGGGGCACACTTTCCCCATACGATTCCTTTCATCATGACACTGATGCATTATCTAATCCCTTATTCAAACATGATTAAGAGAAGCACTGTAGATGCCACACCCTTAGAATAATTTCTTCAGTAAGCAACATCTTTCACTGGAGCAATTAATACCATTGTCAGAGATCTTTCTTGTAGAGATTGAAATCACTGTGTATTGTATTTTTATTTTTCTCTGTCTTCTATAGGAGTTTCACTGTCTTCTAGAAAAGTCACTTCTGGCAAGAATAAAAATCATAGAATCATAAAATGGCTTGGGTTGGAAGGGGCCCCAAGGATCATCAAGTTCCAACCCCCACAAGGAGGGCCACCAACCTTCAGATCTGGCACCACCCCAGGCTGCCCAGGGCCCCATCCAACCTGGCCTTGAACACCTCCAGGGATGCACGGGGCATCACAGCCTCTCTGGGCAGCTGTTCCAGCACCTCACTGCTCTCTCTATGAAGAACTTCCCCCTAACATCCAACCTCAATCTTCCCTCCTTGAGCTTAAAACCATTCCCCCCGTCCTATCAGTGTCTACCCTTGTAAAAAGCTGATTCACCAACATTATAAGGGTTGCAAGAGTCATTGGACCTGACATGTGATCTTAAATTCCAGCACTTTAAAGATTGTTCACTGACACTTCAACCAAGCTACTTTTCAAAAAGTAAACAGGAACTAGCAGAAACTAAGGAACACTGAATGTTGTAGCCCAAAGTGGAGGAAACTGTGGAAGAATATGGAAGAACCATTATACAGCAGTTTAATACTTAAAGAAAACAATCCAGCAGAACACCTGGAAGCACACAGAGGGACTTGAAATTAAGAAAATACAAGACAGAATTATCCAGGTTCTAATGTGGCCTGGAGACAGTACTCACAGGTTTCAGACAGTATAGGAGAGTAACTACATGACCAAAATTGTTTTAAACTGCCAACATTAGCTGCACATCCTTACTGTTTGTGGCTTGGAAGTCACAAGTTGGTATTTCAAATAAACAAAGGTAAGGTTCACATGCAGCT